GCTTCCACTGTGAAACTACTTTATAACAACTTTGATCTCATCCTCGTCGCCAAAGTTGTTATAAAGTAGTTTCACAGTGAAGCTTTATTTCACTAAGTCAATAGATGCCAAACGTTTGAACTTGATATCATAGTTAATAGTGTTGAGGACGATTAATAAAAATAAAGAGACTAATTATTATTGGAAGAGTCTTTATTAACTTAATTTTAGATTCAATAGAAAGGAAGCATTCTAGAAGTTCGACACTGGATACTTAGGAATGGAAAAATGCGTAGCACGAGCAAAGGAGGTGATATATTGGCCAAATATAAACAACCAGGTCAAGGAAAATGTAAGCACATGCATACACTGCATAGATCATCGGGACCAGCAAAGAACTGAACCATTGATTAACTATGATATCTCGATAATACCATGTACTAAATTAGCAACAGACATCTTTCATCTCTATAATAAATCATACGTTGTAATTATAGACGATTAGATATTTCGATATACATCAACTAAAAAGCCGTGATTCAACCACAGTGATCAAATAGATTAAAGAGTACTTTCGTCAGATTCGGCATTCGTCAAATAGTCATTAGTGACAACGGTCCAGAATACAAGCCGGCAGATTTTTTAAAAAATTCGCGAAAGAATGGGACTTCAAACACATCACGACAAACTTTCCACAGTCAAATAGATTAGTAGAAAGACCATACGGACTATCAAAAAGACACTTAAGAAAGAATTTGAAAGTAAGCAAGACTGCTAACTTAGTGATACTAGCTTTAAGAACAACTCCTTTAAAGAACAATCGATCTTCATCGACAGAACAGCTAATGAAAAAGACTTTACGCACAAATCTTCCTAATATTAAACATAGTAGATCTACATACAGTCGGCCAGCTGTAGGACTCCTACTCGGGTTTTTGCTAAATGTCAAAATTCGGAGTGTCGGGATTCGATACAATAATATAAAATATTGTTGCAGGACTGCTCGTAATTCGGCCGTTTAGAATAATCCAACGATTTTCATTGAAAGAATAAAATCCAGTAGAAAAAAAACAACGTAGTATCAACAAATAAACATTAATTTAATATAACGACAAGAATACAAGAGATTGGTTATAGATTTGAAAGTAATGTCTTTGTTTTAATAAAGTTCTTGAATAGAATATAAATTGTATTTGTGTACGTATTTGAGAAACTGTGAAATGTTGTTATAGTGATTTTCCAAGCGTAGCTTAGATGTGGCACAAAGTCGAAAGTACGAGGCACCCAGTGAGGATCGAACTCACTACTCATTTGTAATTGTTCTAGCGAGACAAGTTTGCTGACCATTACACCCCCTCGGGGTGCCCAAATTTTGTTATATGTGTATTTGCGTGAAGGAGTCAGTACGTGTGTGAGTGCTTAATAGTATCAGGGGATACAAGAGATAGAATTTATTTCTTACTGTGAACTGTGTTGCCATAGTTTGAAGCAGTTTCTTTGTAGTTTTGTCAGCGTGATAGCTTTTTGCGTGTGCAGGTGAATAGAGTCTTGAAGATAAGCAGCTAGAGTGACGTAGACCTTGGCAGTGGCGTAGCTAAGGGTGGGGGCGAGGGGGCGAACCGCCCCGGGTGCCAACACAGGAGTGGGTGACACAATGTCACCCCCAACAAAATTCTTCAACCAGGCTAAGGTGCTAAAAATAGTCTGAAAACAGTGGTGGAGACACAGGGGTTTTTGACCCCCACCCTAGAAATAATTTTGCCCCCCCCCAGTTTTGTCCCCGTCAGAAATAAATTTTCTAATAAATTGTCAGGAAATTTGTGAGATAGGAAAAATAGCAATGTTTTCAGCTTTCATGTGTTTCAGTTGCTACAATCTTAGTTACTAACATGAGACATTGTTGTAACATTTTATCGGATGATATGGTGTTTTAACTCTGCATCATTAATAACAACAAAGCGAAAAAAGCCAAAAAGTGCAACAATTTCAGTCTTGCCTGTGTATCAATTTGAGATACAATTTTCCATTGAGTGAGAGCGATATACTTTTGAATATATCTACTAGTGTTGGGACGATTAATCGGAATCGGAATCGAGAATCGGAAAAATCGGAACATTTTGGAGTATCGGAAACAGTATCGGAATCGGAAAAAATTTGTGCCTATTTTCCGATTCCAAAACGATTCTTTAAATTTTTAACTTAATTTTCCATTATTGGTACTAATGATAAATATTTATTGTTTTTAAATTATCACTAAAACTAAAATCATAATAACATCAAAATACGATGTAAATTTATTTTACTTCTATAAATAAAAACAAAAAAAATAAACTTTGCATAAATTCTCGAGGTAACCTTTAAAAGAATGCAGTTGATTTACAATGTTCTGAAAAATGCTTAAAAATTAAATAGAACATTTTTGCCAAGAAAAATACTTTCAAACATCATTGATAATTAAATGGTACCCAGAAAATGATGCAACCGAAAATTGGACACCGGAAAATTAGCAACAGAAAATTACGTCAACCATGAGCCAGTTGAGACTGTCGGATCTGGCTGTGCTGTCCATTGAAAACGAGCTTACAAGACAAACATATTTTGACGATGTCATTGACCAGTTTGCCACAATGAAAACAAGAAAACATTCATTCTAAGACCATAGTATCGAATGTCATTCTTTTGTGTATTGCCGTGTTTTGTATTTAGTTGTTCTGAAAGTGAACAGTTGCATTTGAAAAATCTTTTTATTTGAACTGATTATTTTGTGGTATTGGATTTTGTCTTGGATCATACATGTAGTAACGTACCGGTCAGTAAAGTAGAGGTAGAGCATTTATGAAAATTTAGCTACAGATAACCATTCAGCATAGGGTGAATCGGGGTCATTGGGGTGACATTTGAGCGGACCGTCCCAGGTGACGTTTATTCTAGCTACGCCACTGGACCTTGGTGACGTCTGTGCGTATCTTGTTTAGGGCCAGATTTCTTGAGTTTTATACATCTTTTCGTAAGAAAATCGGCTCCACAATTATATCATTTATCTCTTCCTAATTGGCCCTAAAAAGCCACGTGATATGTCTTCTACTACTTCCGTACAATATTTTGGTAGTATCTACCTAAAGCATGATGAAATATTTTGTTGTAGCATACCTACGGACGATAATGGGTATGTCCCCCATTCCCATAAATACAGTAGTGAATACTGTACGTGGTCTAGATTTGGAGATTCGTCTCCAGCTATGCTGGTTAAACTCTCGGCAGAGAGAATCCCCAGACGAAGCTGTGTCGAAGGGCAGAGTCTCGTCTCGGGAAACAGCTACCCGACCCCGTTTTACGGAGTCTACGCGGAATTTTTGGCCGAGCCTACGTGCTCGGTTACCCCAAATTAAATACGGTCTTGTGCTACATCTGAGTGTGTGGGGCGGTTGGTAGGTATCCTAGAGTTGGAGATTCATCGTGGAATTCACTTGACTCATTTCTAGAGTTGACTACTTCTACGTGCCGCTAGCGAATCTTATATATGTTGTTCTTGTCCTAAGTATTATCGTTCATTACCAACCTTCGTTTGATTATTCTATTCAGTAACCTTCCTTAGGTTACAAAATATTTTATTAAATATTTTAGTGGACACGACAAACGCATATACAGACAGACAAAACTACAAACGCTAAAACCAGATGATAATGTAAGCATAAAATTCCAGGAAAATTGAAAAAGAAAAGGAAAAATAATTAAAAAAAAACTAGACAAACCTCGTTCATATTTATTAGCTTCCGAAGAAGGTACACACATAAAGCACAACAGAAGACATCTTCTAAAAACAAAAGAACAATCAACAAACAACAAAGCAAAAACGCAGTTTGACTATGAAAACATTTAACAAAACAAATAAACAAGAAAACTTAGTAAAAAATATACCAACTAAATCAGAAAATACCACAAGAGGAAGGATAACTAAAGTCCTAGCAAGATATAAAATATGACAATAATAAATTTAAAAGGTCTTCGGCATAATTAAAAAAAATAAAATAAAATTCTTTAAAAGACTGGAGATGTTACATAGTGTCATTACCTCTTACTAACACTCACTATAAGCACTAGCTCCTACCTCCTAATAACATTAAGCAAATACATCAATTTCAATAAAGATTCCGCATTGTTCAAACCTATTGTTTTTACTTCATTGTCTTATATCGTTTTTATTCATTTGTTATTTAACACGATAGTAAAATAGAGATCTGTTTGCTCAATTCAAAAATGGAAAAACATGCCCAAAGTGAGGAGTTCAACTTACGCTGTTTTAGAATCACATCGACGACTTGAAGAAACAATAATCATTGATCGCAGCCGATTGGTCAAAGTTAGATAATAATAATAATAATCCAAAATATATCTCACTTTTTCTTCGGCATTAAATATTTCAACTCAGTCGATGGATTTTTACTTTCTGATACGCAATTAATGTGTACCGATCCGTATTATTATTATTATACAAGATTTCCGCCATGAAATTATATACCTATTGTTTCAAAGAACCTCTATTGAGACCAATAGAACCGCTTTAACTGAATCATATGAAAGAAACAAGTTAAAGAATACAGTTTTATGCCCGATTCTGATGGAAATCAGTCGATACATTTACATGCAGACACACACAAACACACACACACGCAATAAAAAGATGAATATGAAATGGCGTTGGACTTATGCTGTGCTGAGCTAATTTTAGTAAATATAAATAAGCATGAGATGACAATGCTCTAGGTTTACCAGTTTTGTCGCCCATTGTTCTTCTCTCCGCCGACAGGTGTCGCCACGTGTGATAAACAACTAGTCCAAGTCCGGTGACAAGAAGAAAAGCTTGAAATGACTGAAGACAATCTAGCAGAAGTTAGCAGAAAAATAAATAAATAAAAATGTACAGTCGATTCATGACTCATCCTTTTCAGTTAGGCAGACGACCATGACAAAGATGTCTGCGCACATCCTGCGTGCGTTAAGTACTTCCGGTTGTTTGTCCAATGTCTCTCGCAAGCACCGTTTTCATTTTCTTTCTTTCTTTCTTTCTTTCTTTCTTTCTTTCTTTCTTTCTTTCTTTCAATTCCCTTCTTTTCTGTATCAGTTCATTTCAAATGGAATCAACTGATTTGAATTTGAACAGGGAAGAGATAGAAAAGTTTATTTATGTGACAAACGACTTCCGAATAAGATGCTCATGTCCAAAACGGTCACATGACGTAAACTAATTCCAGTTTCTTGTTGACATATTCACACTCCGACCAAAAATACACGTCACAGTATACCGACAGTACTAATAATATTCATGGTAACTTAGAGTAAAATTAGTCATTTTATGTCTTCCTTACAATTAGTCTATTCACGTAATAATATTTCTCTTTTTTATAATGATATCCATCACAAAGAAATGTTGCAACTTCTAGATAACATTGACATATTTAGGGAGGATATTAGAATAATCCAGAATATATACTGGGAGCATGCAATGAATTCAGTAGATATATAAAAAAATACAAACAGTTGTAAGACAAGGACATGTCTTCTTAATAGACTTATTCAACCTATACAGTGAGGTGATTCTGAGAGAATTAGAAGCCTTACTAGGTTTCAGTATTGGCGGCCACAATTTTAACAACATTCGTAGCGGGTTGAACGGCCTCGTTTCAACCCGTACTATTTTTACTTGACAAATGTGCTAAGCAGGAATAATCAAACAAGAAGAATAACATTCAAGAAGAAAAGCTGCATAAGTAAATGCAATTTATATATGCATAACAACAATTTTACAGACAGTAATTCAGTTGTGTTTGAAATGCTGAAATTTACTTGTCCTTGGAATTTTGATTGAGGAAAACGTTTCTGTTGATGAACTGTGAAGTGTATTAAAAAGTGTATGAGTTTGGAGACCTTTCGTAAGATGTATTGTTACTTATAAGAGAATTAAACAGTTTGTTAATGTTGGGGCCACCGACCTTCTCATCAGAATGGACTGATCTCTCTACTACTAATAGGACAGTTCTATAGAGTTCTGGGGAGATCAGGTGGCCATCACACTTCCGTCTCTCTACCGGAAGATACAGTTGGACTTTATACTCTTTCTGATTGTTACTGATTAACCTGCGTTCGTTTGACTACTAATCTCTCTGTTGTAAATACCTCTTCAGAAATACCAGTATTTTTCCCTACGTATGTGTTTGTCCTTATTTCAATACATGCACGGGGAAACACTCAACATCTCAACAGTTACTCACAATGTTATGTTAGGTGTTTCTGTCCTTGCGGTTGAAGGAGTGAATGCTCCTAGATGTTCGTAAATGTCCAATGTTCGTACGTATGTGTATGCGCGTGTGTGTCATAGTGTTTTCCCCAAAGAGAGAAAACGCGACCTCTCTACTGAACTACATTGCTGTGGGTCTGAGAAGACAAGGAGAAAAGAGGAAGAATGAAGGTGCGTCAAAGTATTTATAATTAATCTGAACCACGTGACAGGTTCGAGAACACATAACCAGATTTTGGCGGTAAATTGACTTTGAAAACAACTGCGTATGTGTTGTAATATCTTTCCCATATATTAGCCAATCAGAAGTCAAAGAATTCTTCAAGGTTTCGGCGATCCACTTTGGTGTTTAGTTTGTACAAAATTTGCCGTCGAAAGACACTATAACATAAAAAAAATGCATTGTAATCTTTTTAGACCAATAGTATTCGCTGAATTGAAAATAATAATAATATAATACAATCAAATGGAAGCAGAATGCTAAACATTAAATATGGAGATGACACAATGTTAATAGCAAATAAAGGAAGCAAACAACAGGAACTCCTACAGAAGGCAGTGAACGAAAGCGAGATGAAATGACGAAAGATCAATTGTAAGAAGACATAATGTATGGTTGTCAGCAAATGGAACAGGCCAACATGCGAATTTCAAATTGGAGACACTAAAATGAAACATATATAAAAGTTAAAAGGTTTTAACAGAAAACAGAATTTTTCCAAAGCGAATTCCGAAGGTGCATTGGGATAACTAAAGATGTCTTTCAAAAACTGAGCAAAGTATTAAGAAGTAAGAAAATTTCGTTCGAAAACAAAGTATACTGGACTATTATGTAACATAGATCTTCATATATAGAAAAAGTTTCCAAATAAAGTCCTGACTGTAGTGGAGAGTCTCGCGACGTACTGCCACAAAAGATAGTGAGTTTACATATAATGCTAGTGTAGAGGACCGTGTGGATTTGTGAGTTGTTGAATTAGAGAGACGTGCTGTTTATTCCTGCTAGAAGAAGGTCTAACTACAAGAAAATGGCGGACTCAAGTTGAATCCAACCGAAGATGTAAAGAAAACAAACAAGACTGATATATATATATATTAACAAATATATGTATTAAGCAACAAATTTACAAGTGACATAGACATTAACATTTGTGTTTGTGTGTGAACGTAAAGAGTTTGTATTTTGGTGAATGTTCGTACGTACGTGTATGTGTGTTTCATGACGTTTTCCCATAAGTGGGTGAAAACGCTGATTTCTACTGATTTTTAAATTTGTCCGCTGAAATGCAAAGTAGAAAAGAAAACGAGGCAATAAATTGCCCAGTATTTATAGTGTAGGAAGAGCGACTCCTAGTGACAATTAGGGAATTAAGGAGGAGCTAATTTCGACACTAGCAGTACTCTTTGAATTTGAGTAAAGACTATTGAGTCGAAGATATTGCAGTTAGTATATGTGCGAACTTGTAAAATATATAAAAGGAATATTATGTCTGTTAAGTTAAACTACGAGAGAGGGTTGTGGTAGTGTGACAAATGTAAATAGAACAATAGAGTTACAATGTCCTATTATACATAAGAATTCGTATATTGCGTTGGTTTTGGATATACCGAGTGTAACAGCAAAATTGTCGAAATCTTGATACAATTGTATAGTTACAACGTAAACTACAGGTTGGCTTTGTGCGTGTTGAAGAAATGCAACTTTACCCGGACAGTCATCTGCAACAGGGATTAGCTCACCATCCTAGCAGATGAGAATACTTGGCAGCTATCCAGTATTTAGCCATATATTTCTTGCTAGATAGCTAGCATTTTCCCTTTGTACTAATGTCATATTTGTTTACCAATTGGTTAAGATCGTATATCTCTAAGTCTGTTCGTACCTATTTCTTATCTGTGGGAAGTTTTGTTTCCGTACGAGGCATACATTTCAATGAGTAAAGACTGGCCAACAATTATTCACGGCACGTTTCTAGCCACATACAAGAAAACACTGACTTCGATACAATATTATTTACAGGGAATTAATTGGCATTGCGGTGTCAATTTCTTTTGTTTAACTCTCCGAACTTTTATGAATTTTGAGTCCATTTTTTTCCTTCGTTTTTTCAATGTTTCTCTAATTTTTCTTTCTTTTCCAATTCTTTAATTTTTAATTCTTTCTTTCTCTTTTTCCCCTGTCTTCTTTCACCTCTTTATCTTCCTTTTCCTTTCTGTTCTTTGTTTCTTCACTTTTCTTATTCCTTCATTCTCCTATGTGCTGCGTTCCTTCTGGACAAAGGAATTTATAGAGAACCATAATCGCCTATCTCTTCTGGCTCTTAGCAGTTGTTCTCCCTTTGCTAAGGCTTCCACACCCATCATCCCAAGCCCCGTTCCGCCATTCATTCACACAAGCTCGTCAGGTAAGCAGCTCGTTACCTTCTAATTTCTGCTGTCCTCAAATAGGTCCTGTGAGGGTTAAGTTTGCCAAGCCCTCCTTTCTTATTATGCGTCCAATGGAATTTCAGCTGTCTTTTCCTGATTTTGATTAGAAGTGTTCTTTCTGTTACCTTTTTCTTTAAGACTTCTTAGTTACATACTCGTTCCGTCCATGGAATTCTCCGTATCGTTCTGTAGAACCACATCTCTGCTGCTTCTAGTTTTCTCCTCATCTGTGGGCAGATTGTCCAGCATTCATATAAGAGGATGGATAGCAATCCAACATTACGTATTTTTATTTATTGTCGTATTTTCTTTAACACTCAATTTTGTAACTTTCTTTTTTTCTTTCTGTTCCTAATTTCATTATTTTTTGCCCTTATCTTTTTTCTTTAATTTCTTCATTTCGTTATCACTTTTTTCTTCTCTTTCTCTTTATCGTTTGCTTTCACTCATTTTCTTCTTTTGTCTTTTCGTTTTTTTTTAATTTTCTGCCTTTTATTTTTTTTATTTCTCGTTTATTTTCTTTACATTTCACTGTTTCTTCTTCTTTTATTCTATATCCTCGTTTCTTTTTTTTCTTTTTTTTTTTCACTATTCTATTTTCTTTATCTTTCTCTTCTTTCTAAGTCGCGTTACCTTCGCTTTTGTTCCTTTCTTTCTTTCTTTCTTTCTTATTTTCCTACCTTTCTTCGTTTTCATTCCTAACTACTTTCTTTCCATTCTACTTTTTCTTTTATTCATTACTCGTTCTTTATTTCTTCTTTTTCTCTTCATTTTTTCCTATTTTTCCTTCCTTTCTTTGTTTTCCTTCTCATCCTTTTCCATCATTTTTTTTTTCCTTTCAGCTTAAAATTTCCTTAATTTCTTTTTCTTTTTATATTTTTTATTCAAATTTCTGTTTTCTTTCTCCTTTGATATTTCTCTGCATTTCTTTTACATTTTCATTCATTCCACTAATGATGTTTTTCATTTATTCTTCCTCTGTATCCATTTCTTTCATTGATGAATTAATTATTTTTTCTTCTTGATAATTTCATTTTCTTTCTTTGTTTTTTTTATTCTCTTTCGTGATTCTATACATACTTCTGTCAATTCATTCCTTGACTATTTTTAGCATCATTTTTATTTCTCTTCAGTATTTTCTTCTATTTTTGTCTCCATTGTCATCTCTACACTATTATCTTTATTTTTCTCTCGTTCTTTTCTTTATTTCTCAATCTTTTCCTTTTATTCTAAATTTTTCCTTCCTTCATTCCGAATTGGTTCTATTCTTCTTCTTTCTTATTTCCTTCTTAACGGCCAGTTTCTCATTTATCATTCTATTATCATTCATTTATCATTCTTTTATCATTCATTTATCATTCTATTATCATTCATTTATCATTCTTTTATCATTCATTTATCATTCTATTATCATTCATTTATCATTCTATTATCATTCATTTATCATTCTTTTATCATTCATTTATCATTCTTTTATCATTCATTTATCATTTCATTATTTATAAAATCTTGTGCTTTACTTCTCTGTCCCGTTAAATTAGTTCATTAACCATAACGGAGTATTGATACTTACTACACTTAGTTTGGTCCTGTTACAAACAACAGCAGCAGGATTGAACTCACTACAACTGTAGTAGTCGTCAAACCGGGCTTGCAAAAATTCGCACTACACAATGCACCTTTTTTTATAACCTTAGCTTAATCGTGATAAGTGTATAAATATCAGAGCATCCAATGAATTTCGATCTCATCACACTTCAGTTGCTTTGTAACACTTATTTATATATCTTTCTTTCTGTTTCTTTGTAAAGATTGATGAGAGGATAAACGTATATTCCATTCAACAATTCTTAGAATAGCCGGTTAGCTGATCTCGTACTGAAATTGACTGGCGGGAAGAGAGAAAAGGACTCCATCTTACTTGTGCAACATAAAATATGAGACAGCATCCCAGAAGGAGGCATTAAAAACAAAATTGTCGATGTTGCCATGCATGTTATCACACCCACACTGTTTGACAACGAGAAATGCTGACAACGGAAACAAGATACTTTTTACTTTATTGTCAAGGTGGTTCACCAGAGACAGCCATGTGGAGCCGTTATCTCTCAAGCCGTGAGAAATAAAGGGTGTCCATTTAGTTAGTCTGCCGATTGGGAACTAAGTGTGACTGACTTTATTTCCTCGCTGGTGCGTGGTTGTCACGTGATACTTAATATGTAATGGCGGATAATTATTTATTTTATCCCTACATCTTCATTTTATTATCTATGCGATTTACATGTTGTTGTTTTTTTTTTTGTTTGTTTGTTTTTACTTCATCTTTCGTTCCATTCTATTTTTCAGAAATTTAATTATCTGAGAAGTTTTATAAAAGACAATGGAAAAGGTGACGACGAAGTCTGAAGACGCATTGGAAAAACGAACTATATTTTCAGAACTTTAAACAAAGTACAGTGGAACCTCGGTTCACGAATTTAATTCGTCCCTGAAGACCGTTCGTAACCCGAAATGTTCGTAAGCCGAAACTATTTTCCAATAGGAAACAATGTAGAGAAAAAAAAATCACAGTACAATAAAATTGGAAAAGAAAAGCACGGCAAAATACACGAATGTATACAACATGGCGGTCGACTCAGAAATTATTCCGTTCGGGCCAACACGGTTCGGCAATGTCGTTCGAGAACACTGACTTCTTTCTTATATTCCTTCTATTCTTCATTTTATCTTTATGTCTTTCATAACAATTAGTCTCCCTCAGTGGCACCGCTAGAGTGTGTGTCACCCGGGGCCACCTTTGAATTTTCCGGCCCCCACAAAAAGTACATATTGCACAGTGACTCACTCTTAAAGTTACTCGTTTGTGTATTATAATATTAGTCTCACATGCTCAGATATAATATGCTTTAAATACACATTAAACTGTATCAGTAACAGTTAAAAAGCAAAGCGACATATAGGGGAAAAAAGTGTAAAAAATACAACCATCTTTATTTCTTATATGAAAATTACAACTTTCTACAAAGTAACTTTTCTTGCTTTTTTTGTTGGCAAATTCTTCAATGTCATCGTCAAAAAATATTTCCTCTGTCAATTGTCGTTCTATAGACAGTAGATAAGCCAATATATATGCCATAGTTTAAGTTACTTGAAATAAAAAAAAAAGATCCTTTAACTATGAGTACTGTCCCGGCATTAAAACCACTTTTATTTCAATACAGCCTTTACAGGCTTATAAGACTACAGTAGAGACAAAAGTGTCACTCGGAGCAGACCATTTCCTCCACACCCGCTCTAGCTAGGTCACTGGTCTCCCGAATATCGTTCAATTTGTTTATGGTTTCTCATCTGTCTTTTTTTTTTTTTTTTTTGGACTTGATTTATTTCAAAGTTTTTTTTTTCTTACATTGCTTTTGTTTTCAGTATTGCTTTCCCATTTAAAATGACCATTAAAACATTTGCATCACAATTGTTTTAATTTCTTTCTTCTTCCATTTTTCTTCTTTTTTTTGTTTGTTTGTGTGTGTCTGCGACTTTTCTTTAAATTTTCTTTTTTGTTTCCCTTATTTATTGCTAATGTGAGAAGAAAGGATTAACTACCAATTGTAAGAAAACAGAAGGAATGGTTGTCGGCAAGAAAAACAGCCCAAGTTGTAAACTACAAATTGAAGTCACCAAAATCAAGCAAGTAAAAAATTGAAAGAGTTTTAGCAAACGACAAAAAATGTGACACTAAAATCCGAAGACACATTGGAAAAGAGAAAGATGCCTTCCAGAAGCTAAGCGAATAAACAGAAAAAAGAAAATTTTCGTTAGAAACAAAGAAAAAAGTACTCAACTGTTATCAGTCCTCCAATATGGCAGAGAATGCTGGACAATCAGCGCACAGATGAAGAGAACTGGGCCAATAGAGATATAGTTCCACAGAAAAATACTGAGAATATGAAACGGAATATGTGAACAACAACAAAGTTTTAAGGAAAATGTAAACAAAAAGGACAATTATACAAAGAATTAGAAAGAGACATTTGAAGTGCCTCGAGCATATAATAAGGAAAGTGGGTTTGAAGAATTTGACACTCAGAAGATATACTGAAAGCAAGAGGAACAGAGGAAAGCGGCGAATAACTTACGTAACGCGCTTGTGTAAATGGTTAGCGAAACAGGAATTAAGAAAGACAACAAAAATACTCAGAGCTACAAAGGAGAAGTGAGTGTGGAGAGCCATGATCGTTCACATCCTGAAGGGACACGGTAGAAACAGAAACAAATTTACTGTTCTTTCTTTAATGATATGTACCACAAAACTTCAGTCTGCGCAGTAATATACATATATATATATATATATACTTCGAAAACTGCGAAATCTGTTTTAGGTATTGTTGGCATGTTAAATTGTAGGTTGACCCACCCCCCCATATTACTTCCCTACAATTAACTTTTACTTCCTGCTTCCTCTAGCTCTACGAACATGAATTCCATTCCATATCGGGATTGAAAAGACAGACGACTACTTTTATCGTCTGCCGAAATAGCCTATTCCCCACATGAGGTACAAAGGTTTTTATTATTATTATTATTCATATCGCTCTGTAGAAATAAAATACATCAAGCTCTCTTTCTGTGGATCAATTTTAATATTTTTATATTACTGGACTCGTTTGTATTATACACCCACGGAATTTATTTTACCTTTACTATATATATATATATATATATATATATATATATATATATATATATATATGTCATCTTCCGCTTTAAATTTAGACACCCCAATCTTACCCTGACTTGACATCTGTGAATGTAACTGAGATATTGATACAAATTATTAACACCTTACGCCCCTTTTTCTTTAAACAATTGCTCTAGCCGTTACCATAGAAATTTTGATTTCAATAATGAATATGCTTATAAAACACGTAAATTTCAGAAATAAGTTATTCAAAAAAAAATTTCGCTTGATGATGGAACAGAGCTTAGTACTTTAATTCAAATAATTATATTGAAGTTTTCGGCTCTTGTTTTGAAACATGAGAACTCTTATGTAGCGTGTTGGAATCATATTTTTACATAAATAATTATATATATATATATATATATATATATATATATATATATATATATGATCGAAAGAGAGAGCGAGAGAATAAGAAGAAGATTTGTAAAAGCACCTGATGTTTTTATATATTTATATGTAATGTTTATAATACATATAGGTTTACAAAGAATTATTAAAATTATTTTACTTATATGTGATTTTTCAGAAAAAAAAACAATTTCACTTAACCAGTTTCGAATGTGTAGCTTTTCAAAAGTTGGTTTATCAGATGACCACGTGTGCCGTTGTTTAAGTTCGGAATAAAAAGAAAAAAAAACAAGGGGTGTAACTGGTTTTATCTGTCACTTATGGTGAATCTTGGTTTAAATTTTGCTGATGAAAAATGTTTCATCTGCAAATCTCAACCTACCCTGAGGATGACTTAAAAAGTCGAAAGCTTGGACCATATTTCTTGTACTTTTCTTCCGAAATGAGCTTCGGACAATTCCTAGCGGAATTTCCTCCTTGTCTGAGAAGGATTATTCGAAAGTCGCTCAGTAAAAGTAATTGACACAAAATATCTGATGTCTTTAATATACATGTCTTTCTTATATATATATATATATATATATATATATATATATATATATATATATATATATATTAGTACAGTTCTTTTAGTTATTAAATTTAAACCAATATGCCTTGTAATTTAAATTTTAAATTACGCTTGTTCCGTGCTATATATATATATATATTAGTACAGTTCTTTTAGTTATTAAATTTAAACCAATATGCCTTGTAATTTAAATTACGCTTGTTCCTATATATATATATATATATATATATATATATATATATATATATATATAGATATACACATATGAAAAATAGATAGAGATATAGATAGATACATATGGAGATTATATATATATATATATATAGAGAGAGAGAGAGGAGGGGGTTGTTTTTCCACTGACATCTCCAGATCAGAATTGCCAAGTCTTCGGTGACAACCGGATCAACCTGAGTTGTCTTATAAGGCTGTCCACTCTATTATCATCTGGCCATTCTAGAATTTTCTACTCATTGGGAACCCCTGCACACTTCTAAACAATTACGATCTGTCAGCTTCCATTTTGCTAAAGGTCACTTTACCGTTCAACACACAGTTCTCGGTGTTGCTCTTGGCTTAATGGCGTAAATTCCACTTTCACAAACAAGTACCATCTTTTCCTTCCCCCATTAGTAACGGTGCCTCCTTCTCGCAATTTGGTCTCTCATACCAACCATCGTTTTATTTTGTACTTCAGTCATTATTGTCATTTTCCTCCGTCTTTGACCAGTCATCCTTTTCTCTGTCTGCCAATAATTCTGTCGTTATTTTTTTTTATTTTTTTTATTTTTATCTTTATTCTACCTTTTCTACACGTTTTCACGTCCTTGTTTTTATTGTTCATTCGCAATTTGTTTGACAATCATTTTTTTCTCATTTTCTTATTTGTATTATTTCTTCTGGGTGGTTTCATCTTTTTCTTTCTTTCTTATTCATTTTAATCTTTTCCCATATTTGCTCTTTCTTTTACTTTTAGTTTAGCAAGTTTTCTTCATATTACCTTCACGCCAACAATTTCATTCCGACTCTCCTTCACACACACAGTTTCATTCCGACTCTCCTTCACGCCGACAACTTCATTCCGACACTCCTTCACACACACAGTTTCATTCCGACTCTCCTTCTCGCCGACAATTTCATTCCGACTCTCCTTCACACACAGTTTCATTCCGACTCTCCTTCACGCCGACAATTTCATTCCGACACTCCTTCACGCCGACAACTTCATTCCGACTCTTTACAAATGCTCGTTTCTTTTTTTCTGACATTTCCACAACTCTTTTCATTCATTTTCTTCTTCACCTTCTCGCAGTTCTTTTTCTTTATTCTTCTTTTCGTTCTTATTTTTCGCTCTTTTCTTTCCTCGGATTCTCCCCTACACACACACTTTCAGATATTCCTTCTCTCTCTAAACTTCTTCGTCGCTATCTTTTCATTCTTTTTCTCTTTCTTCTCCATACTGCTTCTCCTTATCTTTGAATCTCATTCTGGAAGTGTAAAACAAGCAGGCTGATGTAAGTAAAACCAATTTTCTTTCAATCGACCTATCACTATCACGACACCAGTCATCAGTAGAAAACATTGAATCTATATTCAACCGTCGGCACTTTGAACCTCGTCATGAACATTTTTCTTTTGCTACACGATCAGCAGACTTGTCTGACATTAACACAATCCTAGACACAATGCCTCTTCGTATTCTTAGCCATTATTTTTTTCTCTATTATTCGTCACTGCTTTTCTTGTATTCCCTGTCACTGTTTTGCGTAACCGAAACTTATTTATCTCTAAAGCAATTATTATTTCATACTTTTCCACGTCGAGATGGGATTATCGATGTAGACTAAGTGGCGGCCTCCAGCATCTTTCACAGAATCCTTGCAGACCCAACACTGCCTTATTTGAAATAGCTCTTTAACCAATTTCTAATTCAGCCGATTTCAATTATTGACAGTTCATAGTGCGCCTTCTATTATAGGCACGACCTTAACTTTTATATTTCACATATTGCTCAGTGTAAGATTATGGCATGTTTTACATTTTCTCATTCGCTATGTGAAAGTTTGTTTTTAATTCTAACATATAATACAAGGCTTGAAAGCCACTCAAGGTAGAGGGTACATCCTGTAGCAAGGCCTCTGGTCGAGAGATTGAAGGCTTTGAGGAGAGTGGAACCACCTCTTAATTGCTGTTGTTCCCAGACCCACCCTAACCCGGAGTGGTAGCACCTGTTAGGGTCCCAGCTATGGGTAAATAGTGAATCTCCCAAAAAGCAAAACACTAGGAATGCATAAAAATACAATTTTATAGTAAAAATACCAGCAATACAGTTTTAGAAAAAAATGACCAACAATATATTTTATAGTAAAATGACCCACAATGCAACACTAAAAATTATAAAAATACATTTTTATAATAAAACTAGACTATCCGTGACCTGTTGGGTCACTGGCAGTTCACGTTATAAAACACTGAAGTTGATTTCAATATTGAAATATTGTCTGCTTGAAGAAACTTGAAATAAAAATACTGTATAAACAACTCGTATTTTTAAATTTTATTCATTTAAAATATTTTTTAAATCATATTAAGGTAAAAAAAATATTTTTAATATGTTAAAAATATTTTAAAATCATATTCACTTGAAAATATTTTTTAAATATGGTAAAAGACTTTTTAAATATTTAAAATATTTCTTGTTTAAAGAATGCTTAAATATAAATGAGCACGCAGGAATCTCAGAGGTGGTAAAAGAAAAGTGAAAAGAGAGAGAGGGGGGGAAGAGAGAAGTGAAAAGAGAGAGATTGGAAAGAGAGAGGTGAAAAGAGAGAGGTGGAAAGAGAGAGAGAGGTGGAAAGAGAGAAGTGAAAAGAGAGAGGGTGGAAAGAGAGAGGTGAAAAGAGAGAGGTGGAAAGAGAGAGTGAGAGGTGGAAAGAGAGAAGTGAAAAGAGAGAGGGGGGAGAGAAGTGAAAAGAGAGAAGGTGGAAAGTGAAAGGTAAAAAGAGAGAGGTGGAAAGAGAGAGGTGGAAAGAGAGAAGTGAAAAGAGATAGAGAGGTGGAAAGAGAGAAGTAGAAAGAGAGAGAGGTGGAAGGCGAGCATAAATGTAACCATTTATGTCCACAATCCGGATGTTAAACTAGGTCACCATCTGAGACGAACACACACCATTTCCTTTTCCTCCCTTCCTACACAATAATAAATTTAAATCTTTCTTTCACCCACTCTCTATATATGACTTCTGGCAAACACACAAGCAACGTTCACAGACTTTTATAATAATAAAGATTACCAACAAGACATTTTTATCATTTACAAAATATATATTTAAAAAAAATAAATAAATTTCCCCTTAAAGTATATAACTATGTACAAAATATCTGTAGTTGAAGGTATAAAATTTGTGTAAAAAATATTTAGATATCGGCATTAAACAAACCATAGAGGTGTTGATGTGCCGCTAAACAAGACCAACCAAACCAAACAAGGCAGATACTGTTAAAATAGTAATGTTGAATACGGTATCCGATATAAATTAAAAAGACGGTGGTCGAAATCGAATATTATGAGGATAAGAGGGATAGATAACAATTGACCCCTGACTTAAAGAGATTAAGATTGCAGTGTTCAGGGTAGCACCTATGCGGGATCGGTTCCACAGAGTGACAGTTCTTAGGGAAAATTGCCTGAATACAACTTATTATATTTTGAACACGGGGGAAATAAGAAAGTGTCCGAGTTGTAAAGGTCTGAACTGGTGGTACTAGACCCTGGAGCTCTTCTGAACAGTTGTCACGGATATAACCATAGATATAGGAGGGACATCCTCTTAGTTGAACTGCTGCTCGAGGATTGTATGTGATTGATTTTATTTTTCTCGTTCCTTCAGGGTTGTCCGGGGACACGTTGTATATAAACACGGACAATTATTTCTATATTCCTGTATTTTATTAATGTGGGAGACAAAGACGCCTGGGAGTCAGAAATCTATCGTGTTTTAGTGTGTAGGTGTCGCTAAAACCATTTGTTCAAATCTTTCTAAAATACAAGCTGTGGGGGGTACGAAAAGTTAGTAAATTTATTTTAGACAGAGTATGGTTAAGAGACGTAGGCGATCATGGTTCTCCACAACATCTTGTATTTTTATTGCCTCAAGTATTTCTGCAGGCATTATATTCGTGTATAATACCTGTCATTGTTTTGTAAAAAAGCTACTCAATTAGGCAAACTAGCAGTTAAGCCTATGGTAATAGCAATATTAGTTGTTTCCTTATAAGGAAACAGTCGGCATTTAGTGACCAATCAGCGCGTACTACTGGCATTTGAAATTCATAAAATCTTTCACTTAAAACAATTTTTCAGCTAAATACGTTTCTCAGATCCAGTAGCTGTTATCGTTCTTTCCAGTACTGATGGAAGGTTTCTTTCCCAACCTGTTGTTTGAATTCGTGTGGAATGTCAGCATCATTGATTATGTCATTATTTCCTCTCCAAGTTACATCTGACATCCATTTTAGCTGTTGCCGCTGTTGAAAGTCCTGAAATGGTGTGGTTTCTGTTATTTGGTACAATTCTTTGTGATTATGTAGCGCCAGTCAACAAGGTTCGAAAAGGGTGATCTTCACCACGATCCACAGGCTTAAACTATTTTCCTGTGCATGGCGTCTTTGATAATTCTTTACACCTACCCTATTTAGACGGATGCGACCCCATTCATTACACGTTAAATCAAATTCAGTGGCAACATTTCCAGATAAATTACGACCAAAGACCTTTATGAGCACCTCTCTTGAGTTTTTCATACGCAACACGAGTCCGTTCAAAGTCTCTCTTAGCATGCTTACCCTCAGGACGAACGATCTAGGATTAGGTGATGTTGGCTTTCTTCATTGTATTCTTTAGGCAATCTCTATACTTTAATTTCGGTTTGCCTGCTGGTCATTTTCTCCATCATCTAATTCACTGAATAAAGACTTCTTAGAGACCCTAGCGTTCTTCATCCTTACCACTGCATCACAACCGGCGTTGAAGTACCGGTTGCGATAAACATATGAATATGAACAGAGAAGTATATGTATTTAAGCTACATACCGACTGAAGATTATATATGAAAGTATCCACTTCTATGAGTATTTGAAGACTGCGTAGACGAAAGTCTTATTGAAAAATATATTAGCTGAGTTGAAAATCAGAATTTCAGTTTCAGTCCAAATATGTGCATGCATCCTTAAATAAAAGCTAGATAAGTTAAAGTTTTCTGCTGATATGAAGTCAAAAGATTATATTGAATCAATTGCTAGGTCTGCTGCTAGGAAAGTTGGTTCATACGAGACAATTTTTCACACTAAAATGAATTAAACATTTGTAAGTCTACCATTTGTCCGTGCATTGAATTTTGTCGTTACATCTGGTCGATGCTTCTATGTATTTAGAGCTTCTTGATAAAATCCAAAGAAGAATCTACAATGTTATCGGTCCTAATCTGGCATCTCGGTTTCGGACACTTTCCCACCGCCGTAATATATCTTCCCGGTAACTTTTCTATAAATATTTTCATGATAATTGTTCTGGTGAGCTTTCCTCTTTGATACATTATGAATTTAAGCGCAGTACTCGATTGACAGCGAGGTTTCATTACTTTTTTTTAGTTTAAATGGCTAGATGTAACCGTAAGTTCTATGCTGACAGTTTCTTCTATCACACTTCTCATTAGTGGAACTCTCTTCCGGCTTCTTGCTTTTCAGATAACTTTGATCTTCAAGAACTTAAATGCAATTTCAATCCTTATCTTTTGTCTTTTTAATTCTTTTATTCTTCTTTCTCTTTAATAATTTTTGTTGTTGTTTTCTCATATTGTTTCACATTCAGTAATCCCTTGCATTTTCGTGACTTTATTACATTACTTGAGGGTGAAATAATTTTTTAAAAAGACGTGATACATACAAAAAGCGATAGGTCAATGATAGATACTGGTGAATATATATACATTTCTATATATCAAGACAATGTTAAGTAAATGAATGACAAAATGGAAAAAAATTATGTACCCCGTTTCTTCCTTTAAAACAGGGGTTTCCCAACTTTGCTTACCCCATGTACCCATTTCACTATTTGTCACAATGCCATCCCCCGCTCCTTTTCAAGGTGACAGGCCAAATAGAACAAATTTTATAATTGATCTCTTCCCAACTAAACTTGTTGTGGTCATAATTCACACCTGAAAACCCCAAATTCACCACCCGAACGGGGGGGGGGTCTAATTTCATCCCTGTTGAGACTCCCTGCTTTAAAAGGACTTCATCAGATTAGAGCAATGTGCTTATTGATGAATTATATATATATATATATATATATATATATATATATATAGTGTGAGTAGGATTATAAATGTTAAAGTCTGTTATAATCAACGTTTCTCCTTGATGGATAATTATAAGCGATGTCGTGTTTATATTTTAACCTCCCCCTCCCCACAGATATA